ATATATATATATATATTCTATTAATATAATCTCTTGAGGATGAAATTGGAAAATATGTGTATAAGAAAAACTGCTCATCCCATTAATAATAACTACCCACTTACATAGAGTGTCATTTTTCTTCCTAGTTATTATAATTATTTTAAGTATCAATAAATGAATGTATTATATTATAATAATATATCCATTTTTTTTAATAAAAAAGTATATAAAGTATTTTTTTAAATATTAATATATTAACATAATAGTATCATATTACATAAGGAAATATATACATATTTATAATTTCGTAAAAATGTATTATTATTAAATGCTACATTAATATTTTTTCTCAACTTTAATTTACTTTTGTACATTTATATTTTTTATTTCTATTTTTTAGTTTTTACATTTTTTAAATGTAATTGTTGCATACTATATGTGATTATTTATTTATTTATTATTTATATAGATATTAATATTAATTATATTAAATGTTGCATTAGTTACCCATTTTAAGTTTAATTTACCCAATTTCGGTGAAGATTAGGTTACTCTAAAGGAACGTTTGACAAAAAAAATCATATATGAAAATCATGATTTTAAGGAATTTTAAATCTTGAAAATTATGATTTAAGATAATAGTTAAAATTTGTTTAGTTACTCATAAATGTTCCTAGAAATATTCATATAAATTTTTTAGGAATTGAAAATTTTCATGTTTGATTATAGTAGTGGATTCTTAGGTATATAAATATGAGTTAATCATCTATACACTGTCAGTGTAAAAAATTTTACACTGACAGTCAATCAGAGTTGTTAATAGTGCCTTTTTTATTTTAATTTAATTAAATGAGCAGATGAAAAGATACTATTAACGGCTCTGATTGACTGTCAGTATAAAAAAATTTTACACTGACAGTGTATAGGTGATTAACTCTATAAATATTTCTTTTACAAAAATATCATTTATTAAAATAACCTTACTAGATATCTTTATTTACTCAAATCATATTATAAATATGACATTAAACATTTTTCAAGATCTAATTACATTTTGAAGATAATAAAAAAATTATATATATGAACAAATCTTTTTATATAATAATATTTTTATTTGATAAAACTTAACAAACTTAACAAAGAGTAACTTTTAATATAGTTATTCAACCGAATAATTCATGACGTTGAATTTAAAATATCTAACCATTAAAATATTTTTTATTAAATATATCAAATATACAAAATTTATAAAATTAATAAAAAATTATTTAATATTTTATTACATGAATTTATATTATTTATAAGTAGGTAATGGTGACAAGATATTTATATTATTTATAAGTAGGTAATGGTGACAAGATAACAACGATAATAATAATAATAACAACAACATTAATAATGATGATAGCAAAAATTATGATGATAATATACATAATAATAATATTAGTAACTTTTTTATCTAAATCATTTATTTTAATTTAAACGTTGAGATTTTTTATTTTCATATCAAAATGATTAATATAAAATTTGATGTATATGATCTAAGAAATATAAACTATCAATCTAACGATTAGATTTTCAAAATTCACATTTAATATAAAGTTATTAAGCGGTGTAACACTTAGTAAAAGTTACACCGGTATCGTTTGAACCCTCCTCT